GCCCAGCGTCCCTGGTAGAGCCCAGAAATTTTTTACTTGTCTCCATATGTGTTCCATGATTCTTCAGGCAATCTCTGATTGACTGGCATGTGGGCTGAACCTAGATTTATTTTTTCCCCATGCCCTGAAATATTTGTTTGGTGACTCATCGTACTTATCTATTGACTGGCACATTGGCAGAGTCCAAAGTTTCTTTACAACATAAAATATTGTTTTATGATTTGTCAGATAAATTGTTTCCTGCTGACACTTGTAAATAAATTCTGCTAGTGTGAACTGGAGGGAAGAATACAACCTTCGGCTTACAGGTACTTAGGGCAGTGATGGGGGAATGGGGTCATATTTTTTGGCTAGAGAGAACAACTCCTTTTACTTGAATGTATAATCAGTCATTGCACTTTTTAAACAGCTGAAAAATCCCTTGAAGAAACTGTGTTACCAAATGCAAAGTGAGGGCATTATTTTCGCACATTAATTCTTGTTAATATCAGTTTGGTAGCTATGTTGAATAGGACATCCAAGCATGACTAAAAGAAAGGAAGGCCTTATCTAAGCAAAGAGAATAGATTTTTAGTGACAATTTAAATTGTGCCATTTGCCTTGTATCACCAAATCACACCACTGTTCTCTAGCTGGCTTTTAACCATACACACATTACTTGAAAATCAAAGAAGAGATTTTAAAAGCTGTCAACAACTTTCGTGCTGGCACTCCAAAAGTGGAGTGACAACTCAGACTCTCTTTTGAATATTGTAGATAATTATTCTTAGGTCATCCTTTCCCCCACCCCACTGCCACACCTCCCCCCAGATAAATAACATTCATCCAGGGTGATGGATTCACAATTTGTAACTCAAAAAATGATTTATTTAGCATTACATGTCATTGTGTAAGAACTGACTCCATGACAAAAATTTCTGGGAAGCTGATCTTTTCTTTTGTCTAGGAAGATGGATGCACTTTTTAAAGTTAGGTTTCCTCCCACAGTTATTGAAATACAGAGACTGTCACCTAAAATGTATACTCTATGAACCAGGAAAACTATATACCATGCATTTCTACATGGTCTGTGTATATTTCTCCAAACTCTGCCCACACTAGTGTATTTCCACATCTGCAGAAAATATTTTATAGCCTGTTTGGAGTCATTGCAGAACCTTTGTTTTCCAGGTAAAATGAAACCTGAATTGTAGTTGTAACTCTTGCTATTCCAAGAAATAAATATTAGATTTTTATGTTTGCAAGTCCTCTGCCTCATAATTAGCCTATTTTTTATGTCTACTTTAGAATTAAGGAAGGGCATAGATTGAATAAGGTGTCATGCATATCAGTTAACAAAACTGGTGTTCCTGGAATAATCGATGGAATACATGGAAAGGGAAAAGAGAAAAACAGGGCTTTTGCAATGCAGAGAAATGGAAAAAAGGAAGTTGACTCCCTTCTGAGTGGCCTGTAAAATAAAGGCATTAAAACTTTATGTTATGAGCTGAGAAATCAAAGCACTGCAATGAAAATCATGGAAGAATTGAAAAGGATGTCTTTTGATGAAAGTCACAACCTAGGTAGTATTAAGCTCTTTGCCGGGAAGAAGAGGCTAAGGGCACTTCATAACTAAGACGACTTCCTAGATTAATCCATCTAGTTTTCCTGGTTGAAGGAGAACCAGTTAATCTTCCTTCTTCTTTCCTCCCTTCCTCCTCTTTCTGTGCAGGGTTTCCTTCTCTGGGCTTGCCTTCAGGCATGTCTGTCACTGGAAAGGGTTATCTTGTTCTGCAGTTCAAATTGCAAAGACATTAGCCAGACAGTCAAGGTCTCTTTCCCTCGCTCCCTTTCTCCCTCCTATCCTTCCTCCCAGCCTTCCTCTCTCCGAGTGAATGTTTGCATTTTCATTCCTTGTGACATCATGCAGCTGAGACATCACATGTATCATGAATTCTCTAACGTTACTGTGGGGTGCCACTTTTGGTTCTTTTATAGTTTTCTTATCAAGAGAGGACTGCAATCAATACCAAGCCAAATGTTTTCTCCTAACCTTGTTTGTATCAAAGAAGTTTACCTAGGTTTTTTAAGAAAGGGGATTAGAAAAATCACTCTTTTGTCCTTAATTAACATACTTCTCTTTGGATTTTGGCTTACAATGACTAAACTTTTACTGACTCCTCCATTCTAAAAAAGAGTCCTTAAATCTTAAATTCCACTGCACAAAAGATTTCATCAACTTATTTACAATTGGCTTTTAAAGTACTAGCTAAATGGAAACTGCAACTGCTTCTTTTAAATGCCTTTTTTTTCTCTTTTAGGGAAGATCTCGAATGGTGTAAGTCTCTATTCCCCACTTCTTGGCTTATTTGAACATATAGAAATAAATTGATAAGAAATAATTAATACAATCCACATGAGAGGGAAGTTGATGGGAATGAAAGCGGAGGACTCAGTTGTACATTTTTTAAATAACTGGGTTTCAGTTTAGTCCAAGCCATCATATTTTTTTACCACATTAGGAACTAAAGCCTCAGATACTATTTATGAATCTGTAGAAATTGAACAAAAAAACAGCCAGCATGTCGGGGCCCCAGGACGTGCTCATGTTGCCTACAAGAGTGGTCTAAAAAGACAATGTGTAATATGTAATGTGCACTGATTTGCATCTTGTGAAGTCACTTAAGCAGTTGCCAAGAGCTAAGTACTGGTGTGTAAACACTTTAATTTTACTTGGTGTATTTTTCTGTCATCTTGTACATTTTGTGGGCATTTATGACTGTTCAAACAGCAGAAAATTGTTTTCATAAAACCAGAGAAGATTTTGAAGCAGGACTATCGCAAAATCCAAAGTCAGTAAAATTGTGGCCAATTGAGTCAGTTTAAAGCTACTGTTTGCTAATAGAAGTCTCAGCAAAATTTTTCACTAAAGCCTTCTGTGAATCAGACTGACAGATGTCACCACTGAAATACTGTATTGTATATACTATTTGACTGATAGAGTTTATTAAGTCTGTAGTTTAATTTTGTACTTAAGTCTTTGCCAGGTTTGAGTTAAAAAGCACACAGTTTAGAAATTGTGTATATTTTCATAAAATGTACTTCATACCTTTCTAAACTTCTGCATTTTAACAGAGAAGTAGAACACACAATGGAAACACATACCAAAAAAGATGTCTGTGTTTGTATGCAAAATAGAAAACAATACCACCCCCCAATGTTATACATTACTAGTCCTGCGTATGTTCTGCTTAAAAATGGGAAAATAAAATAAGAAAATGGAAATGGAAGCAAATTAAAGCAATTTTGGGGCTTTACTTATTTCTGGTGTTGCCATAGAAGAACATTTCTTGGTTCCAGTGTACTTTCCCATCCGATGAAGAGATGGCTGTAACCCTCTATTTCACGAGAAGCAGCAATGGGCCCTTCAGCTGTCACTGTATGAAAGTGTCATCATGGAGATCTCCCACATTCAGTTTAGCAGCTACAGTTGGGAAGGAGTAAGAGTGGCCACTCCTTCTCCAGGCACTTGCATTTCTCTGCTTGCTTCTACACCTCCTGATTTCAAAGAACAGTAAGGTATCTGTGATGTGATTACATACAGATAAGGAATAACAAGTAAGATAGCTGATAACCTACAGGTCAATAATCTCCTGTTCTAGTGAAATCCAGATAAAATCATTGGTTAATTTTTAGATTCTTACAGGAATGTGGCTTGATTTGCAGTTCATTTATACCTGGTCATTCTAAGAAATATTACTCGAAAATAAACAAATCTAGCCATTGCAATGTGAAATAAAATCATGTTATTCTTATACAGTAAAATGTATTGTGACGTTGTGACTTGACAGCTATTGAAGAAGGATCAGACAAAATTATTTTTTGAGAGAGTCTCAGCTGTATAATACTTGGCATGCTTTGTGTTGTATGACCGCCCATGATTGATAGTCTGAGCAGTAGTGCTGGTATTTGTTTGCGTATTCACAAGCGTAAAGAAAGCACAGGCCTGCAGTACTCCTCCCTTTTCTGAACCACGGATACTGTCAGGTGCATTTATGGCTTTGTGTGCCTAGAATCAGCCATTTCTGTCTCTGAGGCCTTCAGGCTGGAGTTCCTCTATTAATAACCTTCCCAAATAATTATTACTGCATTATCACAGGAACTCTGACTCCAGCCCCGCATTACACTGAACCTCCATTGAATGTAGTCTATAATTTATAGGTTAGATTTTTATGAGGAAAAAACCAGCTCTATATGCCTGCCCAGAGAGAAAATATTTCTAAACAGCAAACAAAGTAGTATTTTCGTAAAGGCAACACTTCCCAGGCTGCACACAGCAGTGTGCTTCCAGCTACATGTAATTAGTAGCAAAATCCAACAGGTGGCACAAAAGTATTTGAATTTTATATTGATTTAAATCATATGCCGTTAAATTACCAAATAAAGTGGAGAGGGTATTTTTGGTTATTAAAAAAAAAAAAAAAAAAAAGGGGGGGGGGGGGAAGCGTTATCCCCGACGCTTGCGGGACAGCTCGGCCTCTTCCGAGCAGGGCCGGGGATGGGGCCAGGCGGGGCCTCGCTTGCCTCTCCGGGAAAGCCCCAGGCCAGCCGGGCTCCGAGCCCCTCTCCCCCAGCCGCCCCGGGGAGGTTGACATTGGCCACTTTCCTTCGGCCCTTTTCTCCCCCCGGGCGGCAGCGCCCTCGGGCCGGGCCGGACGAGGGCGGAGGGCGAGAGGGCCCGTGGGGTTCACTGGCCGGGGGGCCCGGCGGGAGATGCCCACACCCACCCCACACTTAAACCCACCCCATCCACGCCGCTTTGGCCCGCGGGTCCCGGTCTCGGGCTGGCGGGGCGGGGGAGCGGGGGCGGGCGCCCTCCGCTGGCCCGCCGCGGGGGCCGGAGCGGGGGCCGGGGATAGCGGCGGCCGGGAGCGGTGGCCGGGAAGCGGCTTGCCGCCGGGCGCCCGCCTGCCCGCGGCAGTGCCCGGGGTAAGCGGAGAGGGGAGCGAGGGAAGCTTGCGCTGACCCTGGAGCCCACCTGCCCGCCGTGAATAAATCCACGAGTAAAAATCTTGGGCTTTCAACGCCGCCCGCCAGGCAGCACTAATGGCGGCTTTGTAGCCCTGAGAAGGTAACTGAGATATTTTTATTTTTTTTTAGTGGACTTGTCCTCGAGATTTGTGTGGGGAGGGAGGAGACATGAAGGTTCTCGGGTACCTTTGAAAACGAGCGTTATAAAGGCACGAGTTGCCTGGAATAGTGACATTCAGGAGTTTCAAACACGGCTCAGTTTTTCACCTTGAAGTGTAGTACACACCACTAAAAGGGGCTTAAAAAAAAGAGGGAGGGTGACTTCTTACACAGTGAAATAGTGATAGGACAAGGGGGAAGAGTTTTACATTAGATATTAGGAAGAAATTCTTTACTGTGAGGGTGATGAGGCACTGGAAGAAGTTGTCCGAAGAAGCTGTGGATGCCCTATGCTTTGGAGTCTTTGCGGCCAGGTCAGATGAGGCTTTGAGCAGCCTCGTTTAGTGGAAGGTGACCCAACCCCTATTGGGAATAGGAATTGGAACTAGATGCTCTTTATGGTCACTTCCAATGCAAGCCACTCTGTGGTTCTGTGTTTTCATACTATGAACATCAGTTATGGAAATATTAAAATGTTAGTCTGGGCCTTATGAATAGATTCACAACGTAACGTAACGTAAGTTAGGTAGTTGCTGTCTTTATTTGCTACTAAAGGACTGTAGTGCATCAGATGGAGCTTTACTGACATTTTGGTTTCCAAACGTGAATGTAGGAGACATATCAATGGCTTATTCTTATGCAATGGCACCCCTAAACCTGAAATTTAAGTGCAAGTCAAAGGCCAAGAAAAAGTTGACCAAGATACTTGGCTTGCTGAATTGTCTGAGAGTGAGGCAAAGAAAAAGAGGTGAAAGAGAAGTTGGGCAATTGCCATAAACTAGAAAGGGAGCACTAGTTTTGCATAAATATTTGCAGCAAAGGTCTGTAAGAGACTTACACCTGCGATAAAAGATTTTAATTCATGCCATTTTACTTTACATATTTATTCCTAATTAAACAAAGAAATTGTTTCAGCTTCTTAGTGAAAAGTTCCTCTGCAGGTGCTTGAAACAGATTCAGTTTCCAAGGAGCAAACTGGTGATCTCTATTTCTGTGGGACCAAGCTGGAGCAAATCGTGATAGCAAATGGCAAATGTAGTGCCATTAACCAGAAGGGAGCTTCAATTTGAACTTAGAGAGCAATCAAGTCACACCACTAAGCAAATGAAGGAGCTATAGGCCTTAGAAGAAACTAGTTCTTAGGATGTGAGGCTGGGCAAGTGCTGTGCCCAGGTTACAAAAGACACCTGTAATATCCATGTTACTAGGTTTGCAGGCCATGAAAAGTTCAGAAAAAGATTAGCCTAGTAAAAGATTGAGGAAAAGCATTGTAGTTCATTTGTCTAAATATCCCATTTTGAAAAAAAGTCAGAACAAGTGAATGTAAAGACTGGAGCTGGAGAAATTAGGTGTTTTCCTATCAAATAGCTTGTCCAGCTGAGCAGATCATAACCTTTGAAAGGTACTGGGCTACCCAGATCTTGTAAAAGTCTGTGAGGTGCCCTTCTGAAACAGGCCCAAGAAAAGCATGACCAAGTACTATTGCTGATGTTTTTGTAGTAATAAAAATCAAGGGAAATGCCCCAAATTCAGTTATTTGGTCTTTATGTGGAAAACAAAACAAAAAAGAAAATTATCTGGACACAAAAAACATGCCTATAAATTTGGGTAGAGCTGACAATCATGAGTCATGACTTTTCAGACATGAAAAGTCGTTCAGTTGTTGGAGAAATTGAAAGATATAAAATAGAAGCAGCAAATAAACTGCAAGAGCAACCCTAAAATTTTAGTTCTGGTCTGGCCAGCTGGAGAGCAGTAACAGAGGTTTGACTGTGAAGTGCACTGGCATGGTGACTCTAGTCGAGGAAAACTGTAAATAGATATTGTAAAAATAAAATCCAAGGAGTAAACATGTAGGTAATAAATAGAAACTGCAAAATATCAGGTCTCTGAGAGCACCAATAGGCTTTAACTGCTCTAACCAGCCTCACATGGGGCCTCTGTCCACAACCCTGCCCATAGACCCAGAAGCGCCATTTCAGCTCCAGCTTAGGACTTCTGGTGTGCCCCTAACTCCTGGAGAGACCTCAGACCTGGGTTATAGGTAGCTTGTGTTCTTTAGATGTACTTTATTGCCTGTCTTCTGCTTTGTCTTTGTTTTCTAGGTTGATTTTGGACCTGTGTTGTAACCTTATTTCCTTCTTTTGTTCCTGGCTGGAGAGCCTATGTGATCTCTGGACCTAGCTCATCATTTTGCCTTCTCTGGGACTATTGGAGGGCCCTGTTACCAGACTACCAGTAAGCAGTGTGATCTATGTACTGTGTTCAGATGTGGGACTGTGCCTTGGTCAGCACAGGCACTGCCTGCACTGAGTCATCCTCGGCCTGTGGCTTTCCCTCCCTTAAAGGAGCAGCTGGCCCTTACTGCTTCTTGGCACAAGGTAAATCCTTCCAACTCATTAAAATCAACTGGGTTGTGGTTGATAATGTGCATTTATCCAAAAGTGAGGTGACTGAGCAGGGGTATTTGACCTCTGAAATTTGACAAAGAAAGCTGGAAAGAAAAAATAAAAGGGTTGAAATAATAGTTGGCTTGGATTCCTATATGATAAATAACATTTAATAAGTGTCAGGGAAAACATCCTCAAATTTTATCCATCTAAGTTCCTTATGCAGGTGTGGGCTAGGTGAGGCAAATTGCAAGAAAGCAGTAAACTTTCACAGTTGTTTTTTTTTTAGTGAACTGTTTCCTGGCTCCAGGGATAGAAACCATAATGGCAACTAGATATAATGAGTAGGAACTCACTGAAGAGGAGGGATTTGTTGAGTCTTGTCTTGAAACTTTCTTAATGGGATGAAATTAGCAGAATTCCTTGAAACAGAAACAACTCCCTGACAGTTTTGCCAAATAACCCTCAAAACCAGCAAATACTCAACAAAGGGGAGGGTTGCTGCATAGCATGAAACTGTGGACCTGTTACAAGTGGGACTAGAAAAAAAGCATAAAGGGGAATGAGAAACTCTTGTTCTAGAGCATTGCTAGAATTTTTTAAAAGAACAAAAAAGCCAAAATAGATGTAATGGATGGGAGTAGCATAAGCTGTTTTCTGGAGAACGCTGAACTGCTTGGTAGCCATCTGACCAAGTAACCCCATCAGAGAAGAGAGAGTTATTGGAGGTTATTGAAAATCTGTCAAGAAGTGTGAATGTTCACTGTCCCTGACTACTCATTGCAGTTTGTTTCTTTAGCAAGAGCTGAAACAGGTAGGATAATAAAGAATACAGTGTGGCATATGTCTCTGTATTTGTAGCATGGTATGATGATTGTGTTTGATAGTAGAAACATCCGGAACTGAAACATTAGTAATAATCTGTGATAAGGATATGGCAAAAAGCCTCAAATTAAGCCCAAATAAACCAGAGCTACTTAAAAAAGAAGTTGTATTCTTTTGGCCTGTGGTCAAGGAAGAGGGAATTCCTGCTAGTGATGTCAACATATACTATATAGGGATTACTAGTACTGTAAGAGTTCCCAGATGTGTGCAGTTTTACAGTTTTTAAAAATAGCTGCTTTTGTGCATGGAGGAGGAAATCCATTTGAATGTGACTTGACATTGACACGGTTAAAAACAGCTGTGTTGGCCTCCTCGGGTTTCAAAACGGATTCTTGCATGCTTGAGCTTGGATGGTCTTGAAACAAACAAAAAGACTTACAAGATCAATGGCTTATACAGAAAATCTGAGCTTCATAAAAGTAGAAGAAAATGCGTCACTGAGTGTTGGGTAAGTCTAAGGAGTATTTTCACTTTTTAGGGCTATAAGGAATCTCTGTGACTTAAGACACTGTCTGTATTTGGCAGGTTGCTCAAGAAGCTGTGGATCCCTCATCTCTGAAAGTGTTCAAGGCTGGGTTGGATGGGACTATGGCAGGAGGATTGGAACTTGGTGATCTTTAAGGTCCCTTCCAACCCAAACCATTCTGTGAGATATGTTCTCAGTTTTGGGAGGCAATCTGTTCAAATTACAGTCCAGGGCATGTGTTGTCTCTTTAGATCCCAACTCAGATACAATACGTAAAGATTTCTGAGATTCATTGAGGTCATACAGTATTACCCACCTATGTAGCTATGTGTGCTAGAAATGCTCCTGAATGGATCAAAAGTGACTCTTGGCATTTAAGAGTAGAGTGAGTGAATTAGGTTTTCCAATTAAAGTTCACGCAAACACAGATATCCTGGGGATAAGCCTATGGTCACAGAATGGACAATTTCATGACCATAGGATAGAACACTCCTAAGGAAAAATGGAAAATGTGTGTTGAACTTACTACTTCACTAATGTAGTAATAAGATAGTTTTCTATAAAACTGAAGGATGATAAAAAAGCCTAATCTCATATATAGTCTTGGATTAGGACAAGAACTAGAAGCTACAGGGTTATTCAAGACTATGTAGATGGTTGGCTCAGTCTGATGGAACTCTTGTATGACCATGATAAAAAGGAATAAGCAAAAGAAAACGTGAAGTCTTAATACGTGTTCAAAATAATGATTTAGTGGAAACAGAAGAGAGGTGATGTGACATGATGGAGAAATTAATAGAGAGTTTTGTCTGGGGAAACAGGAATCATCATCATGGCTAGATTTGGGAAGGGCTTTACCCACATTTGTTACAAGCGCACTGGTGGCTAAAAAGGCCAATGCGAGACAGGCACATCCGGTTGCAAAAGGCACAGCAGAAAGACTCCTTAGGTGGTGTATTCTGCAAGGCATGAATCTTTCTGCATTGTCTTTTCTCCTCGAGAGTCATCCTGCGTGCTTTCTCAAAAGCATCAGCAGCGTTATAGATGGTGTGTCTCCAGACCTCCCGATTGGAGGCCAGAATAGATCAGTTATGTTGATCAATATGGCCAAGGCTGAGATGTTGTTTCAGGGAGTCCTTGTATCTTCTCTTCGGGGCTCCTCTCTTGTGGCAGCCAGTGGCAAGTTCACCATAAAGCAAGATCTTAGGGAGGCAGTGGTCCTTCATCCTAGAGATGTGTCCTGCCCAATGCAGCTGTGTTCTCAACAACATGGCCTCAATACTTGTGACTGCTGCTTGTTCTAGAACAGACGTATTAGTCACATAATCTGACCAGTGGATGTTTAGGATTGTGTGGAGACAGTGTTGATGGAAGCGTTCTAAGAGTCGCAGGTGGTGGCGGCAGATGACCCATGATTCAGATCCCTTTAAGAGAGTAGACAGCACAATGGCTCTTAAAAACTGATCTTTGTACTTTTCTTCAAGTGTTTATTTTGCCAAACTCTTTTATGAAGCTTTCTGAAGGCACTATATGCCTTTGCTAACATGTTGTCTATCTCTCCGTCGATCTTACTATCTGAGGAGATGAGGCTACCTCAGTAATTAAACTGCTAGACTGATCTGAGCTCTGATTCACCAATGGTGATATGGGGATGATGGAAGACTTCCTGAGGTGCCAGTTGATAGAGAACTTCTGCCTTCTTTAAGCTGACTTCCAGCCCAAAGAGCTCGGCAGCGTCAGCAAAGCAGGATGTTAAATGCTGCAGAGTTGCTTCTGTGTGGGCAACAAGGGCAGCGTCATCAGCATAAAGCAGCTCCTGGACAAGATGGTTTAAGGTCTTGGTGTGGGCCTTCAGTTGCCTTAGGTTGAAAAGGCTTCCATCAGTACGGTATCGAATGTAAATACAATCCTGATCATTGAGGTCTGCCGTGGCCTTTTGGAGCATCATGCTAAAAAAGACTGTGAATAGGGTTGGTGCGAGAACGCAGCCTTCTTTCACACCATTAGTTATTAGAAAGGGCTCAGAAAGTGCATTGCCATATCTGACTTGGCCGTGTTGATCCTCATGGAGTGAGACGATCATTTTAAGGAGCTTGAGGGGACAACCTAAGTGTTCCAAAATCTGCCATAGACCTTTTCTGCTCACAGTATCGAAAGCCTTGGTGAGGTCGACAAAGGTTACATAGAAACCTTTGTTCTGTTCCCTACACTTCTCTTGCAGTTGTCTGAGAACAAATACCATGTCTGTGGTACTCCTATTGGCTCTGAAACCACACTGACTTTCAGGTAGGATTCCTTCTGCTGTAGTGGGTATTAGTCTGTTCAAGAGTATTCTTGCCAGGATTTTGCCAGCAATGGAGAGCAGAGTAATAGCACGGTAATTTGAACAGTCTGATTTAATTCCTTTCTTCTTATACAAAGTGATGATGACTGCATCGCGAAGGTCTGATGGTAGTTCACCGAGGTCCCAACAGCACACCACAAACTCGTGAAATTTAGCATGGAGTGAAAGGCCCCCATGTTTCCAGACTTCGGGTGGAATTCCATCAACCCCAGCTACCTTGCTGATTTTCACCTGCTGTATGACCTCAAGGGTTTCTCCTAAAGTTGGGGCAGTATCCAATTCATTCTTCACCGGTTGTTGTGTGATGGACTGAATAGCTGAGTCTTGAACTACACGACTAGTACTGAAGAGAATCTGAAAGTGTTCAGACCATCGATTCAGAATGGAGGTTTTATCTGTCAGAAGCGTTTGACCATCAGCGCTGAGTAGAGGACTTTGGGCTTGGTATGTAGGCCCATATACTGTTTTCAGGGCTTCGTAGAATCCTCTGTGATCACCTGTGTCTGCTCATAATTGTGTTTTTTCAGCTAGATTGATCCACCACTTGTTCTGGATGTCACGGAGTTTCTGTTGGAGCTTGCTGCATGCAAGGCGAAAGGCTGCTTTTCTTACGTGACAGGAAGGCAGTGCAAGGTGTGCTTGGTGGGCGGTTCTCTTCTTCCTCAACAATTCCTGGATCTCTTGATTGTTTTCATCGAACCAGTCCTTGTTCTTCTTGAGGGAGAACCCTAAGGATTCTTCAGACGACTGCAGGATGCTGTTTTTAATATGGCGCCAAAGTGTTTTAGGAGAGGTATCTGTAGAATCCATGGAATGGTTTTTGAGCCTAGTTTGAAGATTAGCCTGGAATTTGTTTCTTACTGGCTGATTGGAGATTGTTAACTTGGAGTCTCCTCCTTGGGATACTGCCCCTTTTAGGTTTGAATTTAAGATTAAATTTACAGCGCACCAGTTGATGGCCTGTTTGGTATTCTGCACTAGGCATCACACGGGTATGGTGGACATTGCGGACATCTCTCCGTCGCACCAAGATATAATCGATGAGGTGCCAATGCTTGGATCTGGGATGCATCCAGGTTGTCTTCAGACTATTTTTCTGCTGAAAGATAGTGTTAGTAATGGTGAGCTGTTGCTCCACACAGAATTCTAGCAGGAGTCGACCATTATTGTTGCAGTTTCCAACACCATGCTTACCTAACATTCCTTTCCAGGCTTCAAAATTCTTTCCTACTCTGGCATTGAAATCACCGATGATAATGATCTTATCATCTGCAGGAACCTTTTGGGTAAGGCAGT